CACAGACACAAATATATAGTATATTACGGAATAGAACACTCAAAATACATGTCCATGTCGTTGTAGCACATCTCTGACCTACATTTAAAACATGGCTTCTGGATTAATACAAAATAGCAGGGGGGATTTCAAACGGAACGAAATGATACGGAGTTTGTTTGTATTCCGCTTGTGAAACATTACATGTAATCCATTTTTGTATTAACCGGAAAAATCATGGCAAATGCTGTCTGCTTCGCTTCGAATGAGGAAAAACTCATTATTTATGTCTTTGACACGAAATTTTTCTCATATAATCATGGATTTAGGGAAAAGATTATTTTTTGGACCCTTTTGACCATTTAAATGTATGTAAACACGATATACTCTTTCTTAATCCGAACTTTGAAAATGTGATCGTCAGCATCAGGAAAATCAGCTATGGGCAGTTAGAGGTTACGCGGCGCCTGTCTAAAGTTTTTCGCCGTGTAAAACCTCTTACATTGTTGGAGTAACTCTTGGTAGAGAACAACCTTACTCTTGGTGGAGAACAACCTTACTCTTGGTGGAAAACAAGTGAGAACAATGGGAAAACAACCTTACAATGTTCGGAAACAAACATTGGCACTATTGATGGAAAAAGTCTTGAGCCAAAGTGAGGTCAGTATTTGCATGAAGAACGTACCTCACATGAGGACAGATTCCATAAAATGCCTGTGATCATTTCTTTGATATCCTCGTCATGGACCTTCCTCATCAGTCGAATCAGGGCTGTGACTCCACCAGCACTCTCTATGGCTTTCTATAAAGATAAAATCAGCATTTAATGTACCTGATTCATTACGTTTCTTTTTCCATTTGTATGTAAACTTCTATATTTCCCTTGTGTATAATTATCACTCTTTATTAGATTTTATTACAGGAGACCTGACAGGAGTGGGGACAGGAGTGGGACAGGAGTGGGGACAGGAGTTGGACAATAGCCAGAGTGGGACAATAGACAGAGTGGGACAATAGACAGAGTGGGGACAGGAGTGGAACAGGAGTGGGGACAGGAGTGGGACAATAGACAGAGTGGGACAATAGTGGGACAGGAGTGGGGACAGGAGTGGGACAGAGTTGGACATGAGTGGGACAGTCCTTACCTTGTTGTCAAGACCACTTTTGGACCTTCCATACGACAGATTTTTCAGGGCCCCACATGCGTTCCTCTGGACCTCTGGGTAGTCGCTCCGTAACAGCTCCACCAGGGGAGGGATGCCATCGAGACCCCTACAATAGATAAAATATGTATTGATAGATAACAATCTCAGGTAAACAACTCATCATTACAGTTACAAACCTCACATACTGATATATGACAACATCTTACCTCTACAACACCACCATCAGTTACAAATCTCGTTACAGGTAACAAACCACAGGTGTACAATCCAATCCAGTAGAATACATTTATAATGAACAAAGGGACCTAAAATTCATTATAGAATCACAATGTCTAACTAGAGGATAGTCAAATTAACTCGGGCTATCAAACAAATAAAACAGTATGATAATCGACAGTAATAACACCTTACAACATGAAAACAACACATATGGCCCTACAAATCATATCTGTAGTGATACCCAAAAAATCATGAATTATGAATGCATATTTTTTTTCAATCATATTCTGACATTATTTTGTTAATAATAATAATGATAATGTAGTTTACAATCAAAGCTGGGAAAATATGTTGATTTGATTTTTTTTGATTTTTTTTTTACAAATTTTTATTAAAATTACAGAAACTCAATAAAAGGTTTAGGAATCACATTTTAGAGCAAAAATTCTATAGTAGATAGGAAATCCTAAACAAACACATATTTATTTGTCTAACAGTTAGACTGTTGGGTATTTCAGAGAACAGTGTTTATTGCTATTTCCTGACTAAGGTACCATGTACTTTTATAAAATCATCTGTATTCATATTCCGCATCACGTGCACGCCGAGATGTGGATCTTCAATGATCCGAGCATCACATGATCATATAGTGTATTTACATAATTACCAGGCATGCTTTTAGAATATGTACGCAAGTATACATCAGAGTGTGAACCACTAATCCTGTTGATCATTCGAGCTTGGAGTTTTCTATTTGAAACACATAGTTAAATGAGTTTTGACACATTTTATGTTCACCAATATCAAGTGTCATAAACATATTTTTCTGTTGTTTTTTAAGAGAGACATAATAATGTTGTAGAATTTGTGTGTTTCCCTTATTTTGCACATACTAGTACCTATTCAACTACTATTGCCTGTTGAAACAGAATCCCAACAATCTTGGTTCCTATTAAATGAAACTCCAAAATCTGAACAACTTTTTTGGTTTCCTGTGAAGCTTAATCTTGTAACATTGAGATCATATTATGTTAAATCATTCACCCCTGAAATTTTGTAATGAACTATTCCAACCTTTGAATTGGAAGAGTTCAAATGTGTCTTGCGGGGGGTGAATGAGTTAAGTATAAATAGGTTTCACCTCTTATCTCTAAAATGTTCAGTTGAGAAAAAAATATATCTTGATCTCTAAGATATTTAATTAACAAGGTTTTAATTTAGTTATTGTACTGTTTTCAGTTGAGAGATGTTTGTTATGTTCATTATTGATCGATTTCCTACCTATGACATTCATTTTAGAGAAATGGTCTCTGTGATGTTTAATTAGGTAAGATAGGTCTCCACTATGTTCAGTTTAGAGAGGTCAAAATGATACGTATTAATGTTCCTCTGTATTAAAATAGTTATCACTGTAAGATAGACAATGCCCCAAAGTCCCATACGATCTCACCACTAATGAGTTGATGAGGGTTTAGTCACTGACGTTTTTATCTAGGGGAGTGTCTCCTGTTGTTTTATAATCAAGCTCCATTATCTGTATTCCTACATATGTTGGCCCATTATCAGGGGAGTGGAGGGGAGGAGGCACCGAGTATCATCAACACAAGTGACCATCTCCGTGAAATACAGAAAGGAAGAGAACTAGCTAATAGCAGAAGAGGGGTTAAGGAAAGAGGTTCATTTTTGTATCATTCCATCAAAAACATACTCCCTGGGTAAGGGGAAAACCGGCAAAAAGGAAGACTTCCCAAGGAGATTGGAGACTGGGAACTAGGGAGTAGAGAAAATAGGGATGCTAACACATGTATCCCTCAGCTCCATCACTAGGCTAGCCCCCCCCCCCCTCAAATCTCTAGGTTCTTTAATTGAATTAAAAAATATACTTTAATAATTAGGAGGTCTGTGTTTTAAGTTTCAAACCAGGGGGAGATAAGCTGTTACAGAAATGCAGCTGGATAATTCTTTCCAAAAAACTTCATGGGTTTTAGCAATCCTTCTCTCTCCCATCCAATACTTCACCCCAGGAGAGGGGGAGAGATCATGACAGGGGGAGGTGGAATAATAGGGAGAATGAGAGAGTAAAAGTCCTTCTCCCCATCAAACACTTACACCTCCAGGGGAGGGGTCATTAAAACGGAATTATCACTAATCATAAACACCATGTTAGTGGTGTCTGGTGTCATCAGTGATTAGGGTTATCTAGTCGGTACAGCCTGATTACTTATATATAACAGTACAGTGGGTCTCCCCATTCCCTGTGGTGCCTTTATCTGTAGCCCTCTTGTAGAGCTCTGTTTATCGTACTGCAGTATTTCCTGGGGTGTTTTGTTTCCCTCCATCTCTATAACTGGACACCAAAATTTTGAAGCTTCTTTAGCTTGTAAATAAACATAACATCTATAGTTCGGACAATTCCTAAAATATATTTAACAAATCTTTATACATGGTAGGATTTGAAATTAGTTTCATCAATAAAGAAACATGATTAGACCAGATAATGAGATGTTCACCAGTAAGTATTCCATTTTATGGATTTTAAAGAAAATTAAGCTAACGAGGACCTGTATGATCAATGATAGGTCCACTAGACCGGAGACGTGGAGCCCAGGAATGTGGTGTCCTTTACTACTCACCAGCATCCCTGATAACGGGCACCTGTTGCCTAAATACCTCACAATTAATTTCCGGCACTGTTATTTTTCTTTCTGTTTCAGCCAAATGCCCTAGTTTATGTTAGATTGCTTTGTTTGTAATTAAACGGGAATACCAGGAATACCACATATTCAATCAAGAGACCATCATTGGAACAGTTTCACAACTTTCCACAGAATTAGAGTCGGCCCAGCAATATCAGCCTATTTCTTCTATCAGTCTGTCTGTTTCACTTTGTCCCATTTCCGTCTATAATCCTCCCCCTCCATTATTCTCCCCCCTGCCTCACCCCAAAGACATATCCTCTCCCTGCCCATTATTGATTTTCCTGGGAGTTTAACCCACATTTTGAAAACCCAATATTTTGCTATGTAATAGGGCTAATCAAAACTTAGAAAAAGATTGTCAGGACGACAAAAATCACTGGAAATTCAATGTAAGAAATCAGTTACACAGAATTTTAGACCGAATAAGGCGGCACCTACATTATAAAAGTATCTTGGACACTGTTCTTTAGATACTATCATTAAATGTTAGCCTGCTGGAGACTGGAGACTGGGGAGTGGTACCAGTCTGGCCATACAATCAATATGTCTTATGTAGAACTCAGTAAGGAGTTAATGTTTTGTTTGGGGCTAAATTAATAAGGCCAGTCTTTCAGTTTTACTCTGGAGCTATACCCTTCTATGAATAATCGAATGTTATCTTGATTGAATTAAAAAAATTGCATCAATAGCCACAGGAGATGTTTAAGATTGTAGACGACCGTCAGTTTTCTGTTGTATATAATAAAAGCCTCCCTGTATTACATCACTACCATCATCACAGGTTGTCAATCTTAGTTTTATGTGGATTTTTTGCCGGAAGCAAATGATTGGGGAAGGAAATCCAGTAACAAGTTATGCTAACAGGAACGGATTTAATCTGGTTGATGTATAACCAATATCACCAGTATAACTACATTAGCTTCAGGACTGTTAACGAAAATAGCAAGCGGAGGTTCCAGATTACCAGAACATGGCATGGATTGAAGTTCAAAATAATGATTAAAGTATAAAAGGCATCCATATAGCTGTGTTCACTTAAAATGATAAGTACATGGTTCCAGCTAAAATATAATGACGAAACAGTGTTATATTAAAGATGAACACAATAAAAAATATATGCAGAAGTTGACTTAGCTGTGGTCATGTGACACAGGATGCTAGATCTTGTGATGGATGTTTACCTAGTTCTGGGCGTGTGATGCATGTTTACCTGTTTTTGGACATGCAATGCATGCTTACCTTGTTTTGGACTTGAGATCCTCGTTGTTGAAGCAGAGATGTTGCAGGTAGCCAGCAGCATTGGCCTTGACCGCCTCACTGGGGTGGCTGAGGTAGTCGATCACCTCCTGTAGGTCTGGGTTACGCCAGTTACTGCCTGTAACATACAACCAAACAACACGTCAGACAACACATCAATTATAGAGACTCTTTGTAACACAGAAACACAACACATCAGACTGTACATCAATTATAGAGACTGTAACATACAACCACACAACACATCAGACTGCACATCAATTATAGAGAACTGTAACATACAATCAGACTACACATCAATTATAGAGACTCTGTAACATACAACCACACAACACATCAGACTACACATCAATTATAGAGACTCTCTGTTTCATAAAAACACATGTACATAACACATCAGAAAACACACCAATTATAGAGAGACTCTCTAACATAGAAACACACAACATACAACCACACAACACATCAGACAACACATCAATTATAGAGACTGCAACTTGCAACCACACAACACATCAGACTACACATCAGTCATAGAGACTCTCTACAACATAGAAACACACAACACATCAGACAACACGTACAGCCTCAGTAATGCTCAATAACATTCATAATACACATCAGTAACATCAAGAATCATTATACAAGACAATCTAAGCTTACAGTCATACATCAGTCAACCCAAATAAGAAAACACATCAACATAAGTTTACATATAATACAATGCATCAGACAACAAAGCCCCCTATCTTGTTCCTGTAACATATCTACATACAACTTATATATGATTACTGGTTGTTGTTCCTATTGTTATATAACAATGCCACACAATCTTCATATAGCTACCGATCAAAGCATCCTAGCAATGGGACAAAGTTAGCTACAAGGAGTCGGGTCTATCACTATGATAGACTTGCACAAGTTCTGTATTGTGTACAACAACTTCTCATGATCTGTAGTGATGGAGACTGTTTGGATCTCTCAACATTCCTATAAACCCATTAAAAGTACTACAGCGTTAGCAGGTGCTAGTGTTTACGTTCCAGCATCTGGAGCAACAGGTCTGACGGTTAAGGTTGTGATGTTCTGACAATAACATAGGACCAGACTTAATACATGCCATAATACATGTTTATAAGTTCCCTGAAGCAGGTATGGGAAATGGTTGTGAATGTACATTCAGCTAAATTTTTCATTGCCTACCAAAATTTCATTGTACCAAGGATTTGTTGATGAATGCAATACTGTAAACTGGAAAATGTTCACCCCGTCAACTTTTCGCCCTTCGCCCATGAAATAAATGTTTGCCTGGTGTTCATTTAGCCATTTAATTACTATGTTTATTATGCTGTTTACTTATATTAATGTAATGCAAAAATTAAACTGCAGCGAAAAATTTCCCAGTATACAGAAGTTTATAGTCTACAAAGAACTTTATATATATTGTATATAATTTTCAATTTCTTAGCAAAAGGAAATTTTAGGTAATTTTTTTTAGCTACATTTTTTTTTATGAAAACACTTATAGAAAGTATTTAAGTAACAGTTGAATCTTGTTCATCTCTAGGAAAATCAGCGCAGACAAACAAGGTTTATAAAAACAGCGTTCCCAGGGTCCACTGACAAGACAATACATTCTTATAATGGTCTTCAATTAAATGCTGGCTTGTGTGCATCAGAATCGTTCAGGACTAGACAGAGCTATTGTATCATAAAGATAAAGACAATGCTCCGCTCCGGTGTAAATGGCACGAAGCACCGATCCTTCCTCCCCGACCTCCCCCTCCACTTGTATACACTTCACAACTGACCCATAACACTTTACTTCCATCTACAATTACATTTTATCACCGTTCAGTTAAATTATAATGCCGAATCCCTGATGCAGACCAGAAAATGCTAATATGTTTTATCACTCCCGGCTCATGTTACAAAGAATTATAATCTTGAACTGCGATGCAGACAAGAGAAAGCTAATCGGTACTTCTGTGAGTCTGTAAAATATCAAAGACCGGTTAGGAAATGGTTTTAATTAGATAAAAATCCATTGATATCTGTTGTTTGTGCATCCTTCCTGTGATAGACGGATGGGTGTAGCTTTCCTAGTACCACTCAAGTAAGTGCTATGTTCATCAGAAGACATCGCCCCCCTCTAAATAGTGACCAAATGGTGATGATTTGAATGGAGATTTTGGTTTCTTATTCGAAGATCACCGAACCTGATATACTGCAAAAAGGTTTTTTAATTTCCTGGGTTCAAATTTTCACGAAAAACTTTTTCTCTCTCGGAAAATACAGCCCACAAAATTCATTGCACACTACTCTTACTGTTGCACCTTGTGCAATGGCCATTGGACCTGAAGTCTGCAAGAGAAGGATCCTGTAAAATTGATTATTTTAGCAAATCTATGAAAATTAGGGACCACAAAAAGAAATACTTTTTCAGTATATGTACCAACAACTCGAGAGATGTAAAATCTTTTCCACATAATCCATTCAAATACAAAGGTCAGGCACTCCTTTGACAAATCTGGTAGCGATGAGAATCGAAGATGGATATATCAGCAGTTCGACTTGACAATTAAATCAATAGGTACTTCGATTGTGTCTGTCTGGCTACAGATGACCTTGATAGTGACCTTCAATTCTTTCACAAGTTTCAGGAGAGACAAACTCCATCGATCCTTTTTCCTAACCTTGACCTCAATGTTGGGTCTTTTACGTTGTGTCATTAATCTGACTTTGACCTCTAATGAGACTCTTGTGTCCTTGGCACGTATTTGTCTTTGTGTTACGAATATCTAAATGAGAGGTCATCGGAAAGAAGGATTATTTGTGACACGCATTGCAATGGAACTGAATTACGCTGAAAAATGTACGTGTGAAGGAAGAAAACAGCAGAAGTAAAGGAGAGCCAGGCAGATACAGGAATACATATGGCACAAATCATGTACCCCGCATGTGTGGAAAGTCTTCACAAATTGGGTATGTGGGTAAGTGGGAAATTCTGCCAGTTAAACCTTAGTTGAAGGGTCCCAATTAGCATTCCTTGCTCTTTATGGCAGTCATATAAGTTCACACTGTGTGATGGTCTATCAATTCAGATTACAGCCTTGGTTTAACTGACCTTGGCCAGTTTGCTTCAGTCCTCTAATGATGTTTTCACAAGTTGCAAAGACAGAAATGTAATGCTCCTCAGATAGGCTTTACCAAAATCACACCCTAGCTGTCAAGTTTTTCTTAGGAAACTTAATTATTTATGTATATGACTTCTTGGCAGCATTATCAACAGCATTTGACAGGAATATGAAACTGCATGAGGCTTTCAAATTATCTTTAAGTAAACTCACTATATATTGATTTCAATGTTGCATTTCTTCTAATCAGAATAATATCAATACATACCCATAGTTACTGAAACTAATGGCAAGTTTCCTGTCTGTTTTTTGTTTTGTGGCACATATTTACTGGCAAAGACCTCATGATAGTTTTCATCTCTGAGTAAACAAATTTAACTAAAGCAGCCAATTTAACTGGAATTGAAGCTGCATGTTAGAGACTTGGACCTATACAGCTCTAAGTTAGGGAGAAGGGTGAACTTGAACTCCTTCACCCCCTGAAGACACATTTGAACTCCTCCAATGCAAAGGTTGGAATAGTTCATTATGAAATTTCAGGGTTGAACGAGTTAACTCCATGTAAGGGAAGAGCTTGGACATTACTGATCTGTGTCAATGTGGAGCTTGCATTGATCCAATATTGCCCCTTGGTCCTTTACCATCTGATCCTAATGGTTTTATCTACTACTTCATTGCTTATTCAGGTCTATGGAGATTTCACTCATATCGTATACATAATCAATACCACATCGTCTCAAACTTGACTAGGAAAAGCAACAAACATATCTTTACCCATGCACCCATTAAATCTACAAAGAAAGATGGTGATGATTTAACAAAAAATATTCTTACGACGGGAATTGAACGGAAGTAGCAGGATGTCCGTAAAAATAAATTAACATGTTATTACCAAATACAGCATTTATTGTCTATATTGTAATTGACATGCTTTTCTTATTTTCAAATCATGGAATGGGGGTTTAACTTGAAATCACATGTCAGGCATTTCCTAATTTTCTATATATCAAATTTTCAACACATGATTCCCCTTAAGTTCACTCCGACCTGTTTCATAATATTATTACAACACATCCATTACTTTTGCAAGTCAGACTTTTAATGGGGCTATAACTAATAAACCATTAAAAATCAACAGTAATAAATGACAAAATCTAATCATAACTTCATTCCTATGGTTATAATTTCATAAAATTTTTGCCAAAAATTTCGGTTAAAATTGTTTGACGGGAATGTTTGACTTTGCTGAAGCAGGACGTACAGGTGTGTAACCGTCAACACCTCATCAAGCCGAGATGTGCTTCGGTGTCGCCAGTCGACCGTGACTGTCCTCCAGTGTTACGTGTAAATCACTTAAAACAGGAGAGCTCGTTAATTAGTTTTCTATCCATCACATTGAAATGGAATCTACATTCCTGGTCTGGTGGGGGAACAGACGGGGGACAACAGGTGTCTGTCCCACTAATACTTAATGCTTCACACATTTAACAACTTCAAAACGTATTATTACTCATTCATCCCTGAGAACACATTTGAACTCTTCCAATTCAAAGGTTGGAATAGTTCATTATGAAATTTCAGGGGTGAATGAGTTAAAGACCTAATTTTTCTTGGATCAAATATTGATGTTTGTGCTGTGCCATCTTTAGTAATATGTTTGTTTCATAATTTCAGTATGCCTACTTCTGACGGATCTATATCTACATTACCAGGACTTTTTTCATCATGTTACCTTCCACTTAAACTATTCACATACAATATTAATATTTATGAATAACAATGTAAAGTTTAAAACCTGTTAAAAGAGGTAGATAGTTAGGCTAGCTCATAGAGTTGACAATCCTAAATGAGGGCCCTGTAGGGTGTGTATAGGGTGAACAGCTGTATTCACACACACAAAAAGTGTAGGACAAAGGTTTCACCTGCTGGGACTGTGTATGGAATATGATAGTTTATAAACTCTGAAAACAATGTTGGTAGA